AAATCCAGTTTACAAAGGGAAAATCTTTTGCTGCATTAGGAGAGAGAGAGAAGGTTCATCGGTGTCATTTGCTTGGATACGAGAGCGGTTTACCGACAAGTCGAAGCCTATATAGTACAATTGTGTCTCATGTTCATTCAACATATACACTTAAAGTCTGAAGTCAAATAACCACAAAACAACTTCTAAACAATATCCATGTCATTTACTGGGATATAAGAGGGATTTTCCAAATATATAACCCAATGCAATGTCCCCATACTTCCATCTTTCTCCTCCAACGATCATAATCTTACTAATCGTTGCATTAAGCACAGCTAAATTTTTATTAGAATTAGCCCATAGGCAATATCCAAGATCAATCATCGACCAGAAATCCTCAGCAACAACGTAGTCAACACAGTATCTACAACATCCAACACCCATAGCTAGCACAAGACATTAAGCTCCCCTTCCCATAACCCAGCAATTCTGGATTATCAAGATCAATATAATAAATTCTTAAGGGCCAACACTAATTTAAACTGCAAGAAACAACATAAACAAGCAGGTTTATAAGGCATGTTTATGACCACTTAAGAGAACTATAACTCTACAGTAGCCATATACCCTTGAGAACAATCCCCATCACTGTAAAGGTCCAAAAATTTGAACGATCCACATACACACCAACCAATCGATAACATTTTTTATGGATACGGTCAGAGCAGGCAGTATTCATTATAAACAACTACAATCCAGAAGCTTTGCATTTTACTAAGATGATATGCAAACCTTATGCTGTCTATTAAAATCAAACATATTTGACATTGAGGATAGACATCCGCCAAGAACACCCCTGAGGTTTCAAATTTCTATTATACTCTGAATAAAGAGCCGTATCTTTAATGATGAATCTATTCCCACATTGTTGATATGCTTCACAATGCGATTTTGGTTAAGGAAATCTATTTCCTCCATTCAGCATAGTCGAAACCCAGATGACCAAAAAAGCCTCTCTGCTATAAACCAAAAGCCTACTAAATAACTCCTGTAAACTTTTTATAAAAGAATATGTGAAGCGTTTTCTGTACAGAACACGCTGTTTACAGATGTTAAAGAAAAATCAAACCCTTGATTGATGAAGTGCTATATAATAGAATAAAAAGGTGATTCAGATAGAAAGAAATAATTGTAACAAAAAATAGTAGCAGAATTTGCCAAGTTAATTACAAAAGCATCACATGCAGAAGACTAGGGTCTACTTGCTAGGTGACCAATGTTTGATTAAAGTTATAGGATATAGGATGAGAATATCAGTAGCAACATGCACCTATGCCGTGAAAATTTGAGCTCATGGTAGTCCTTTATCCTAAAACATTGGTATTCCGACTTCTCATCTTAATATGAAATGCCAACTAATAACATCATCCATCAACATCACCCCAGCTAAATTGAAACTAGAATTGCAATAGACTGCCGAGCAGCTATATGCAGAAATTTGTTCCAATACAGAATACACAGTAAATCCAGCTGATGAATAAAGCTTTAAAAAGTTCATATCTGAAGTTAGAAGTATTATTTAACATACATATAATTGGTTTAGTCCAGCTTATTTATCAAACCGAGATTTTACCATGTAAATGATTGCCCCTAGTTCAATCAGAAGAAATTCAAAGCCTACATCACTCAACACTATCCATTTGAACCAAAAAGCCATCTCACTGAAGTTTGTAAATTTGTTCATCAAGATTGAGGCTTAAAGTCAAATCGCAGATTAATATTTTGATATAAGACTAAGACCTGGAACACCATAGAAAAATTCAAATCCCTAATTTTCTCCTCAGGCTTCAAGGTAAAAGTATCAATAGACGCACTCAATCCACAGGAAATATAGTATACAGAGAGGCAACTCTGCCTGATCTCACAAGTAATAATCAATGTCCTCAAACTATTATGCAGAGCAAAAGAAGCTCCATATATCAATCAAACTCCATCTTATAGTTGTAATATCGTCTACACATCTTACACACAGTGTACCAGTGTCTATATAAAGGTGCTTTCAAAAGCCACGACCTAAAAACTCACGCTGATGACATCTAAGATCTGACAATGACAATGGAGAAGTAGGAGACACGAGAGGAGAGAACTTCAGAAAAGTCTAAATGGAAATAGTAGTAGAGAAAAATAGATAGATAAAGAGATTTGGAAATAAACCCCCTTGCCACAGGAAACAAAATCTAGTCCCAAAGCCATGCTAAGAACTAAGACTTGACCACCTCCACTTCACCTGCAAGTTTTCAATTGAAAAACCATTGGTATGATAACAGTGTGCTCTTACGGCCAGAAGTAAATAATATGGAGTAAAAGGTATTAGAATTACTCTGTGTCATTGAGCCTAATAGTAATAGCCACGTCCATATGAGCGATCATCTCCATAAGATGATGAATATGGACCTCCACCATACTGTAACATAATGTGACAAATAAATATCAACAGTCACACAGGTAAACTCAGGTAAAGAACAGATAACCACGATACTCACATCCGAGCCATAATAATGTTGAGAGTAGAGACTACCATCAGATCCCAGATCATCTGATATGAACGTAACCATTAGTTTGTATAGGTAAACTGATGAAGACCAAGACCAAGCAAAAGCACCAATTTTTGTAGATAAAATACATACCTCGATATCGGCTGCCATGAAGTGATACAGCAGAATCAGAATGATCCAATCGAGGGCGATGCCTACTAGGCTCTGCAAAATCAGGATCCTGGTCCTAAAAGCAAACGAAAATTGTAAATGAAACCGAATTACAGCATCGCATGCAGCAAACACCTTCCCAAAGGAAGTGTATCCAAGAAAATGGAACATGAAAGTTTGCAACTTACTGTCATGTAATATGATCTCTTTATCCCACGGGAAGCATCATCATACAGATACGGGTCATCAAAATGCCTTCCCGTGAATGACCTGTTATATCCATCTTCAAATGAATACGGATGCCTCCTAAATGAATCATATTCACCGTGGCCTCTATCAGTTGAATGATGCCTCATTCTGTCTAGGTAAGATCTCGCAGGCACTGGGCGTTGATGATGAGCACCTCTGAAACCCCATCTCCCCCCTGTTTATGGAGTTGATAACAAAAGATAGTTACAACAGAAGGTTTAAAAAACTGCCATCAGTTTCATGAATCTTTGCAATCTTCTATTTATCATTTAAGAAAGTTTAAAAAGCAAAAGGATGATCTTCTTTTAATTTTTTCATCTTTTTTATTTTTTTCGGAGAGGGAGATCTAGCCACCTCGTCCAAAATTCTGCCTTCCATGAAAAGGAGGATATGGGCTGTCAAAATCCTGGTTATTGGGAAAGCCCATTCTCCCACCATGTCCAGGACCACGTGGGTTGAAACCCCTACCATACTGGAAGTTTGCTTGGTTGAAAGGACGTCCACCTCGTCCAAAACCCCTTCCTGTGCACAAAGCAATTCACCACACTTACAGCCTATCACATGAAATCAATAAGAACCTCAGTTAACCAATACAGATGCATCTGTACCAAAATATCTTGGCAAAGTGCTGCTGCCCCCATGGCCAATTCGAAAACCTCCACACATTCCACCTTTCACAGCCTGCATCTTGGGTAAAGGATTTGACAGTCTCGCCCGCACTTTAACCTAGAAAAGGGAGTGAAAGCAATAATAACAAAAAGCAGTTAATGTGCCCAAAAAAAGCTCATAGAAAAAGTACACGAGGAAAATATATAACTCTGTGTTTCAGAGCCATAATAATCACAAAACTCAAAGGCTCCTTTGCAGTCCATTTAAGCGATGAATTAACGATCTCTCTGTAAATCTATCTGATTACAGTCTGACAAAATACTTGTGTGGTAATATTGTATCACACAATGAAAACCAGCAGTGTCTCCTAGCAGTATGCTCAAATAATTTACAGGACAAATAATTGAAAGTCTGTATACCTTTGAGTCACCATCACTCAATCCATTGGTGTTTATGCCCTCAACACATGAAACAGCAGCTTCATGTGTGGCAAAATCAACAAACCCAAAATCCTTCCGCTTTGCCGTTGACATATTTCTTGCTAACATAATTCGTGCGATTTCCCCAAAACCTTTGAACATCTCCCTCACACGATCTTCGTCCCAGTGAGGAGGGAGCCCATCAACAAATACTGACTTAACCTGGGCCATGACCTCTGGATCCGGCTCACGTAAAGGCTCAGCAAAAGCCACTTTGGCAGTTCTCTCAGGGTGGCCAAATATTACATCAGGTTTTTGGAGTCTTTTATAAGCCAGCATAGCCTCAGCATGACAATAGAACTCAATGAATGCAAAACCACGGCTCAACCCTTCATGTCGGGGATCTGCTACCAAAGTTATGTTTTCGACACCTTCTATTCCATAGTCCTTCAGCTTTTGTTTTATCTGAATTAGTAAATAAAAATAATATGAGCTAGAGAGAACATAGTAAATCAATGATTCTATACAAACAAACTAGTATTGATCTTACAGCTTCTTTTGTCCATGTGTTGCAAATATTCCCCAAGAACAACGTGTCATTGTCCTCACTTGGTGCAGTCCCACATCGCTTCCCATGTATCTAAAAAACCTGAGAATCAGAATTACACTGGACTATCTGCAATATATATATATATATGTGTGTGTGTGTGTGTGTGTGTGTGTGTGTGTGTGTATACATGTATACACATATATATATACATATATATGTGTATATGTATGTATGTATACACATCCAAGTAAAACAAGCATGAAGTACACATTCATGCATAAAAAACATGAATTAAGAAAACAAGAAAAAGATTCATACAACAGGGTTTTTCATTTCTGACAAAGCACGGCTTGCTTGCTCCTTTGTCGCAAACTGGACAAATGCATACCCCTTATTCTTGTTTGTTGATGGATCCTTGTGGATGCGAACTTCAACAACCTCCCCTGCATGCTCGAATACCTTTCTAATTTCCTCTTCCGAAGCATCCCGATCCAACCCACCAACAAATATTTCCCTTTCTTTCCTTATCTTGCGTTCTCTTGCAGCTGCATTTGATTCTACGCGCTCTTCATCGGATGCCTCAGCTTCCGGCTCATTTTCAGGCACATCATCATCAGCAAAATCTTCTCCACCAAATTCCTCGTGAACCTCTTGATCACTAAGAGCCTCAATTTTTTCACCACCTGCTTCATCTATGGAGGCATCATCCCGTTTCAACTCCTCATTGGTGCCTTCGTCTGTGTCAATGGTCATGTTTTCAGGTTCTTCTTCATCCTTGGTGCTTTTGGTTTGCTTCTCCTCTTCTTCCTTCAACTGCTCTTTCTCTTTTCCTTTACAGGGATCTTGAGCCTGTATAGAGTTCACATAAGTGGTCATGGATTCTACATCCTTTGACAAATCTTCAACATTTTCAATAAAAAGCTTTTCTGTGTCACCAATTTCCCCACTGTCCTTTTCCAAGGACCGTTCAAGATCACCAATATTATGATCCTCCGTGGCTAGCTGAGCATTTTCATCCAAAGGCTTTTCACTTGTTGCAGGTTCATCAATTTTTGAATCATTTATTGTTTCATTCAAGGGATCTTCATTCTTTACCATCTCAACTTCACTACCTGTTTCCTTTGAGGGTCCTTCATTCTTTGCCTTCTCAACTTCACTTACTGTTTCCTTTGATGGTCCTTCATTCTTTGCCTTCTCAACTTCACTTACAGTTTCCAGCAAGGCTCCTTCATTCTGCATCTCCTCAACTTCACTTTCTGCTTCCTTCCAGTGTTTATCATTTTTTACCTTCTCAGCTTCAACTGATTTCTGTGTCTTTCCAGAAGCAGCTCTTGTGGAAACTGGAGTTTTTTTAATCACTTTCCTTACAACCTTTCTCACAATTCTAGTGCTAGAAGCAGGTTTTGTTTCTGGCATGGCATGAATAGCTTCATGGGATGCTTTAACTTGATCGACCACTAAACAATTAGAAAAATAATGTCACTGCTTGGCCGAAGAACATAATGGAAAAGCTCAAAAAACCAAAACAAAAAAGAATAACTACAAGATGCACATCGCATTCTCACAAAAAATAGCAAAGCAGACAAAAAAGGAGCATTAATAAATAAAAAAAATTAAATACATTAATCCCGTTGATCAATCAACCACTAATCACTTATACCACTTGTTTGAGCCCCCTTTTGTCAAAAATACATCATCTAATACACTAATTTTACAGGTAAATTGAAAAAAATTTCTTATTTTTTAACCATGCATTCTCCAAAGAAAACACTATTTCAAAATACCTTTTTTTTTCCTCCAAAATGGGCTAAAAAAAGGGCATAGTTTTTCATTTCCCTAAAACATTGACAACTTAGTAATGAGAAACAAGAATTAGAATATTAGTATTATTATTATTATCATCATCATCATCATCTAGACTGAACATAGCAACTACTAATACGGCACAAAAAGAACTGGTCGATAAAGAAATGAAGATCGACATAAATCTCAATAAACCTGATTGTTCGGGCTCCGATTTGGAGGTCGCGTCACCAGGCTTGACTTGCTTTGCTCTGGCGGCGTTGGCACGCTTTGTCACCAGAGTCTTAGGCGTTGCCGTCTCAGTAGCCGGAGATTCAGTCGGTGGATCAACGGAGGACGTAGGAGTTTGTGTTTTGGCGTTGGCAGCGGACCTCTTTCCGGCCTGAGGTGTCCTTTTCGCCGGCGCCGCTGATTTTGGTGAGTCGGAATTCCGAGTTCGCATAGTGGATCGATCAAACGGATGAGTGTGGAATATGAAAGAGCCCTAAAACTTGAGCCACATGTTTACATTTTATATAAATTTAATAACATAGTGCTAAACTTTTTTCCTCAATATTTTTTATTATATTACATCATCAATATTTCATTAATTAGCACGATCATTTTCAATAACGGTTTTCACCGAACTAACCATTCGTGTTAATTTTCAATAACGATTTTCATCTAACGAGGTCATGAATGCGCCAACTTCAAAGTAAACTAGAAATTAAATACAAAAAGCAAGAAGACAAATTTTAGATACAATTAGATCAAAATTTTCAAAACCCACCGTTATGAATAAATAAATCAATTGCTGCAATAATGAACATGAGACAAATTAGAATTTGCGAGCTTGATGCTATAAAAAATTGTGCCTGGATCAAGTGAGGTCAATATGCTAATTGAACTTGGAATTCGAACTCGAGATGATCACAAACAACTCTCCTTAGGACTTGAAACAAAGGATAAAATGTTTGACCTCGTAACCCATTTGATGCAAAAATTATGTCCAATCTTTTAGTAGAGAGATAAGCAATAACAATGTGTTGTTAATTATGAGGCTAAAAAGTTTCTGTATTAAAAAAAAGGTTGAATCGCAACTTTGACAGCCCCCACCGTCCCGCAGCAGGCCAGAAAACAAGAGCTGCCTAGCTAAGGTTTCTGTATTTATAATATTTTAGGTAGCATATGCCTAATAGAACTAGGATTCTGTAGGCTATAGGTTGCCTCCCAAGTATCTAGGAAAATTGTGTCCTTATAGGCACGGGAATTAACTCAATGCCCAATTGAAAAATGATTGATTGAGGTTACAAGTTGGGAGCGAATGTGCAATAGCCATGAAGAAGAAATGAGATATGAGATGTAGGACTCTGTGATGAGCCTCTGAGACCAAGGTTGATGGGCCTTCTCTCCGAGGGCTCGTGGCATATGCCACTACCAATCAATTTTACTAGAGGAACTGAAAATGCCTAGAGCTGAGCTAGTTGGTTGTGTTCATGTCAAGAACCACCTCTTTATGGGAGGTGAGCTTTCGGGAAGCTTTGACAGCCAGCATCCTCCAGGTAAGATTTGATTTTTATGATCTTGTCCCAATTGTAAATGATATAAACCAAAGGAAGAGAAGAAGAAGAAGAACCAATTCTTCAACCATAAAAAAACTAGGTTTCTACTGAGAGAATTATGTTTATATATGCAAGAAGATCAAAATTAAAAGGAAACCTACCAAAAGAAAGAAAACTAATAATATTTATGTGTAGATATTATATTATAGCATTCCTCAAACTCATGATACGACAGCAAGAAGCTACGAGCATTCGTCAAGCAAAAAGCGAAAATGATGAACCAAATGAGACTTTATTGTAGTGATGAAGAAACAAAAGGTAGGAAAATGGTGTTACATTGCAGATGATGGTCAATCTCAATATGCTTTGTGAGCTCATAGAACACAGAGTTGTGAGATATCTGAATATCACTTTTATTGTTAACCAACACAATCATACAATGTTCGTGGTGGTGGATGTCATAGCATGATACTCAGCATCAGAGTAAGCACGGAACACCAAATGGGAGTTGAGGGAATCATAAGACTTTGAAAACAAGTACCATAAAGATTAAGTAAAACACGAACAATAGTTTCCCAATGAACTGTATTAGTAGCAGAAACAAATTGAGTAACAATGTGGACAGCATAAACAATATCGAGACGTGTGATGGTCAGACAAACTAGACATCCAACAATGGTGCGATACAAAGTTGGATCAATCAAGGGTACATCGTCAGAGGGTGAATAACAAGCATTTGGATTGAGAAAGAAAGTAACCTCTAATAGAAGAAGAAACTTTGAAGATAATCCTGTTTTCAACTGAACTTCATTTCCTAGAATTATGTTATTTGTGCATGAGCATTGACTCGTCGGTGTACACTCACAAGCGGGAGAGGGAAGTGTACACGAGCATTGAGTCAATACCGTGTACGTATAGCAAGACCGTATTTCCTATTGAATCTCTCTTTCTACTCGATGAAATGTCGTTTTCAAAGTTAATTTGGATGTCTTGATAACTTCTTAATATCTAGCAAATTTAATAATTGTATATAGAGGTTGATTGATCTATTAAGTTTGATTACTTCTTGTCAAAACCTCAGGCGTGCGTGAATTTAAAGGAAAATTTTTTTTTTTTTTAAAATAAAAAAAAAAAAAAAAAAAAAAAAAAAAGGAAGAAGAGATAATGCACCTAAGTCATTCATGTCAAAATGACAAGCTAATTCTAATTTCAATTCAGCAATTCCATTAACATCATCACCGGTAATAATTATATCAATAACATATAGTAAGAGTAAAATGCGACCAGCTGAAGTATACCTAAAAATAGTGTGGAGTCATGATGAATGGGTGTGAAGCCAAGAGAGGTAACACTAGTGGAAAATTTTTCAAACAAGGCATGAAAAGCTTGTTTATAGCAGAACGATATATTAACTTACTACGTTCTACGTTAGGATGAAGAATTAAGCAACCACAACTAAAGACTCTTAATAATAAGTAATGAGGGGATGGCCAAACAACGTTTCAAATGTTGAGAAGTTTGAAGTATGAGAAAATTGAATCTTATTAATTAAAGAAACATCAGTAAGAGCAGCTCCCCCCTCCCCCAAAAAAAATTCACCAGGAGCTTTGGTAGACAAGAGAAGGGGCCGAGTAGTTTCTACAACATGTCAATGTTTTCGTTCATCAACATTATCTTGTTGTGGGGTGTTAGTACACAAGGTTTATGAATTGTGTCATCAAGATTAAGCAATTTAGAGAAATCTGTTGAAGTATATTCTCCAACCTAATCATATTGAAAGATCTCAATTACTGCATAATGTTGAGTTTTAATAAGTGTTTTGAAAGAAGATAAATAGAAAAATAAAAATCAGAACGTCATTTCATAAGAAAACCCAACAATAACGATTATAATTATCAATGAAAGACATAATATTTAGACCCCTCCTTTTATAGCAATAGGAGAAGAAGGACATATTAGAATGAATAATGTCAAATGGTCCAACAGAACGAGAAATACTTTGAGGAACAGCTAAAGCAAAAATTTTTGCTAATTTACAACCACTACAATAAGAAATATTATGAGTTTGTACATCTCCCAATTGACCCTTAGAAACTAACAAACAACTAGTGGAAACATATCCAAGGCGAGAATGTCACAAAAAAAAAAAAAAGGAATTCGAAGAGAAAGATGACAAGTCAACACCAGATGCTGCAACGTGTGGTAGTCTCAAATTGTCCAGGACATATAACACTCATAACTACGACTCATCCCAATCAGCTTCGAAGATCGAGGATCCTGCACATGATAAGCAGTAGAAAAAAACTGAACTAAGTATTTGAATCACATATTTGCCAATAGAAATAAGATTCAAAGCAAGAACTGGTACACAATAGATGTCTGAAAGTGAGAAATTATGTGTTTTAATAGAGCCAACACCTGTTAAGGCCAACGGGCTGCCATCAGCAGTCATAACAGACATAGATGAGTTAGAAGGGTGTAAATCATTAAAGAAATTTGAGTTAGACAACATTTGTTTGGAAACACCTAAATTTTAGATGCACGAGGAAGAAATATTTGAAAGACTCTAGGATGACAAATCTATGTGAGTAGAGGCTGACATAACAAGTGGCTGTGTGGCTAAAAACTTCTAAAATTGCTTTGCTAAATCAATCAACATGAGATTGGATGAAAGTGGTGCTCTAAGTATAGACGAATCACCAGGTGGCATGGTGGCTACTACGTTAGCATTGGGACGATAGGTTCGTTGTTGTGGTAGTTGCTTCTTCAATAGTTTAGGACATTGAGACTTTCAATGCTCCTTTTGTTTGCAAAGTTACGCTCATCATTGGCAACTGTCATATAAACTTTGTTCTGATTTTGTCTGGATGGTCTAGAGGGTACAGTTAATATTGAAGTGTTAGATGGAGAAAGAGATACTTCTTCTATAATCATATTTCCTTAGCCACGAGTTCACTAACCATTGAATCAATTGAATAAACTAAAGTGCAATGTTAAATAGAGCCTCTACTTCCCTCAAAATCACTGTGAAGTGCCATAAAAAACTGAACTAATTGCCACTCCTATCTAAAAGTAATATATTCCTGAAATGCTATTAATCCTGCTGATTCTTTAAGAGCCAACTCGTACCAAATTGAATTTATACCAGTGTAAAACTTGAGAATACTCATATTAATATGTTATAAAGCTTGTATATCAATCTCTAAATGATTCTGGTTGCAAAATTAGATTTAGTGTATAGCTTCTAAAATTGATCCCATACTTTTTTTGTTATTTCAATCTTCGTCTATAGTATACCAATGGATTGCTCAACAAAATTATGAATCCTGGTAAGTATTTTCAATTGTTTGACTCCCATGTATCTAAGTTTAGCACATAATTATCAATAGTGTTCTTAGGTTTCATTATGGTTCCATTAACATGACCCGATAATCTTTTTCCTTTAGGAAATTTCTTATCACAGTACTCCAATAAATATATTTTTTACCATTTATCTAACACTAATGGATTAAAGTGAATCATCCCTTTCATTCGCAATCATAGAATAAACAAATAATCAACTATCAATCAAGAAAATTATCAAATTCTAAGAAAATCAACGACAACAATTGCATCACCTCTAACTACCACCAGAATATAATGCACAATACACTTGCAATCAAACTAATACCACCTAATGCTCAAAAACTTGCCAAGAGAGAAGCTACCTTTTAAACTCACCTTGAAATTCTCATCTATGCGCCACAAGCATTCTTTGTGCTTGACCTACGTTCATTGTTACATACGAAACCAGAAGGTTCTCCTTGAACTGATACCACCAAATGATAAAAAATCATACAATGGAAGTAGCTGCGTTTTAAAATCACCTCGAAATTCTCATCCATGCGCCATCACGCGCTGTAAACACTATTTTTGCGTGACCCTACATGCCATTGTTCATTGTCATGTACCAGATCGATG